GTTCATCTAAACATGAAGATATAGTAGAATGAACACAGATTTATAGTCACCATCTTATTACTCTATATATATGGTAAAGCACCTTTTGGGAATATAGTTACATGTACCTATATTTGCCAAATATTCCAATTGTATTGACTATATAAAATAGTTAATTTCTCTTACCATTCAATATTTGTTACCTTACTATATTTTTTATTTCAAACAATTATAATTCTTAGTAAAAATTTTATACGGGTCAGTTATACTATGCTTATATTGTAAATATTACAAATAATATGGTAACATTTACTATAAAAATTATATTTCCAACTATAATCTTTTTACTATGCCATTATAGTTCCAAATATCATACAGTTTTCTCTCAGTGTGAGAGAAGAATTCACAAGAAACAAAATTTCTCAAAATTACTTTTCTCATAATAAAAACATTGCAGACGTTTATTTTTTATTAGAAGAAACATAAACACACGATTTTTAAGTACACACTGGACATAGGAATCATTAAATCTCTACACGGAAAAAACGGTTGACCCACGTCAACCACACGTAAATGTGGTTGTGCCAATCAGATTCAATAGTACAATATGGAACAACTAATCATGTGGTTGCTGCAATCAGAGCAACTGCTGAATTACACTGACGGTATCTGATTGTCCCAACTAGAATATGCCCATAGTAAATGTCATCCTAATCAATTTCTGGTTGCCACAACCAGATTATGCGCAACTGCATTGACGTAGTCGATGTACCAAAGTAACTGAATCATATTAATCGTATATCACCATCTCATGCAAAGATAATTGACGCAACTATGCTGCTCACAACTACATATTTCTAGTTATGAGCATTATACATTTTTCCCGTGTACAAATAAAATTGATTTTTAGCAACACCGGACGTACGCCTGCGAAAGATTGATAAATAAGAAAGGGTTGGTCAATAAGAGTCCCCCATTAGTGCGTAATCATTTCTTCATTCTAAAGCAAGCTTATTATTTCGGTTGTAAGTCGAAATTATCTTTAGTGTCAGCTACAGGAATTTAGGTTAAAAAAATCATTTAAAAATAATGCGAGTTTGTTAAAAATGTCGAATTTCTCATAGAATCTCGTTGTTCGTGCTTCACACATGTTGATCGCGTGTGACACGACGAGCTAACCACGCGGTATTATTCGAGCCGAGCCGCGTCTCAGGCGTCCACGTGAGATCGATCGAGAGGATCGAAGCCGCGGGGAGCCTCGACGATCCCGGGATCGCGGCGTCACGCGAGCACAGATTAAATCGGCAATCCGTCGGCGATTTGCGCGGCGCTCTGCGCGGAAATTTATGGCCGAATATAAACACGCGTGCTCGTTCTGCGGCGGCGGCGGCACGGTATTTACAATACGGTCGTATAAATCGTCGAATCCTCGTTTCGCGGGCGATTTACATCGCGTTTCCGCCGTCTCGAATTGATTTACAATAGGCCCGCCTGCTCGGCGATTCCGCGCTTTCCGCGCGCGTCCTTGCCGCGAAATGAGTATCGCGCGTCGCGTCTTATCGTCTATCGGCACGTAGCGACGTTTACGACCAATCTCGGATTTATCGTTAATCGGCCTTCGCGCGCCTGATTGCCAGATTAAATTGTAATATCCTCTCGGCCGCGGAGAGAAACGCGCGGAGGTAAACGCGCGCCGCGGCGCTGCGAGTTGTTAACGGCGCGCCGTAAATTCACTCGGATGCGCCTAATTAGGCCCCTCTTTCTTTCGTTATCTTCTTTTTTTTTTTCTACTTGACATTCTCCGCGTATGCCTCCGAAACAAATTTGGCAGGTCGAAGACACGATTGTCTCTTGAGACGGAGAAGCGAAACGTTGCGCGCGCAAACGAGAAGTGTGTCTTGTTGGACGAGTCTTGATCGAATCAAACGTGAGCAGTTCTCGATGAAGAGAAAGTATCTCGCGAGCTGTAAGCTCCCGAGAGCCCGTCCGATAAAGCGCTTATTAGCGCACAGATATCTCGCTTCGTCATTACAACCTGAGCTATCATAGCGAGGATTACTATAAAATCATACTCCGGTTGAGTCGCAGCCGGCCAATAGCTGTCAGATCGTTTACGCAACCATCACGCGTGCACTTGCCATTAGGCGCGATTTACGGCTCGCGTGCACGCGCTAGCTCGCCCGATTTTCCCGATTTGCCGCGAGGCGCATAATAAAGATGAGAGAATGCACGCACGCGCGCGCGCGTGCGGCGGAAAGGCGGTGCGTTCCGCGTCCTAGCTTGACTTCCGCAAAGCGCACGACGCGGATCGATACGGGAGCTCTCTTTTTCTTGCGCGATGAGGAAATCGATTACAATCGTATCATTACGACTTTTGCCGAGCTGGTTCATTCATCAGCTTCAGCCTCAACGCGAGATCGATCTCGCGTTACATGCGCCACCCCTGCCCTGTCCCTTTCCCCTCTCTCTCTCTTTCTTTCTCGAACATCTACTACTGCTTGATGTCAGGTTCAGAAACCGGTAATAATTCGTCTTTTGCTTAATCGGTTCACGCATAGAAAGCACGACAGGTTGTAATCTTATTGGTATCGCCAACGATGCGTTTACTATCGCTATCATGACATTTGCGTTAGGTAACATTCTCTTCCTGCTTCCTTCTCTTCAGATAAACCGAATTCTTTCTTCTCCTTTTCTCGCTGTCTCTCATTTCCATACACGGAAAAGAACAGCTCCGTTAGTGCAATTCAATTTTCTGTTACTTGGAGACCAGGTGAAAAAAAAAAAACTCGCTCGAGT